AAAGGGCAGTGAACTGAGCAGTGAAACATCAGAGGCATTATGTATAAATGATCTGCCTAATGTCTGCAAATCCTCAAATGTACACATGTACACAGATGACACAGTAATCTATGCAAGCAAATCCGATCTATCGTAGTTTGAGGCTGTGCTCCAAGACCAGTTTACAGAGGTAGAAAAGTGGATCGCAAAAAACAAACTCATCCTAAACACTGACAAAACCGTCACAATGATCTTTGGAACAGTACCTAAATTACACAAATTACACAATTCTCATCTATGCATCAAAGCAAAATCAAATAGCACACTGACCGCAGTCCACTCTTTCAAATATTTGGGGATGTTGTTGGACCTCAATCTATATTTTGGCCTCCACATAGAAAAACTTGCATCTAAACTTTATCCAAAACTAGGTGCCCTGTACAGAAGCAAATCCTATCTAAGCCCCAAAGTAAAGGAAAAGATTGTACAGCAAATGCTGATGCCAATCATTGATTATGGGGATGTAGTATATGCACCTGCACCGCAAACCCACCCTAATGAACTCAATACATCTGACGATTTGTGTTACAATGTAATTACAGGACCCATCATTGTGACATGCTAAAAGAACTAAACTGGCTGTCGCTGGAATCTAGACGCACCCTTTATCTTTCCAGCCAGTGTTTAAGAGATTTTCTGGGAAGCTCCCACCCTGCATGGATCAATTCGCTCAGGCTTTCAGTACGCTTCTCACTAGAACGGCGCATCTGCAGCCTGCAGCGTCTCCTCCTATAGAACCTCTAACCTGTGTACCTCCACCCACTGTAATAGGACTCCTAGCATCTCCTTATCGCCATCCCTACAGTTTGATGGCAATATCCAGGAATGCAGGGGTTTTCTTAATCAGGTGGTGTCAGGGTCCTGCGGGCGGCTGCGAGGGGAGGTTGCAGTCCGCTCGCGGCACTCACCCTCCAGCCGTCCGCGGTCCCCTTCCTGGCGTACGCTCAGCGGGCGGCATCCTCCCAGCCATGGATGCCGCCCGCGTCTTCCTCTGTGTCCCCCAGCGGCAGCATGCATGACGCTGCACGCTGTGAGACCGCCCATTTTAACAAACGCCGGGGTCAGTTACCTGACCCGGCGTTAAAGGCACAGTGCCTCAATCACAGTGGGAGGTTTAGATATCTCCCACGTGTGATTGTTAATTCTGATTGGAAATTATCCAATCAGAATTAACCTATGGATTTAAATACTTACCTTTCCTGTTCCTCTCCGCCCTGTTGTGGTCTTTACTTGCTATTATTACTACTGAACTTGTGTTTCTGGTTACGTACTTGTTTATCCGACTTTGTGACTTTCTCCTACACTTTGACCTCGGCTTGTCTATTGTTATTCTGTCTTCTGGTTCCCCTTTACTCGGCTTGTTTCCTGACTATTCTTTGTGTGCTTAGCCCGGCCACTGTAAGGTCCGGTACTGCACTTTGTGTGTGTGTGTGTGTTGGCGTGTTTGGTTCCCCGAATCGTGACAGGTGGAGTACCATTTTGAGGCCTCACCAGGGTCGTTCCCCACGGACCAAGAATTGGTTATCTAATGAATCAATTAAAGGGCAAGGCCCTTGCCTGGGCTAATCCGTTGTGGGAGAGTAATCGGAGCATTGCTCATAATTACCAGGAATTCCTTGCCGAATTCAAGCTCACGTTTGAGCCATTGGGTAGAGAGGATGACGCCTCCACTGCCCTAATGCACATCAGACAAGGTAACCGGTCTATCTGGGATTATGCTATTGAGGTAGACTGGACTAACAATGGGTTAATCTCAGCATTCAAAAAGGGTCTCTCAGAGACTATACTAGATGAGATAGCCGCTAAAGAATTACCTAAGAGTCTTAATGAATTTATTACGTTTGTCATGCATATTGATAATAGGTTAAGACTCAGAGAAGTCACCAGAAGCAAGACCAGATGTACGGCTATGTCCCTAGCACCTCGATTCTCTAAACCTGTTATGTCTAACCTCTCTGTACAGTCCGAACCCAAACCTATGCAGTTGGGGGTCACTAGACTGTCTGAGGCCGAAAAACAGTATAGGAGAAGGAGGGGTTATGCCTATATTGGGGTAGAAAGGGACATATGATAACTAATTGCCCAGTGCATCCGGAAAACTTCCGCACCTAAGAACCTTAAGGGGACAGATCTTAGGTGTGATGGAGTTGTCCTCTAACAAAAACAAAAGTAGATTCCTTCTTGAGGTATCTATTTCCATTGATAACAAGAAGTTTTCTTGCAGTGCCCTAATGGTGCTGCTGGAAATTTTATTGATGTCCAGTTTATTAGGAGTAATGAGATACCGGTCAGGGAGAGACCTACGCCGCAAGCTGTAGAGGCTATTGATGGTAGACCACTCACACATCCGCTTATAACCCACGAAACTGTCCCTATTATGATCTCTATTGGGGCCTCCCATAGGGAGGAGATGACGTTTCAGGTTATTAATTCTCCATCATGTCCTATCATTTTAGGGTTTCCGTGGCTGAGTAAGCACAATCCCTATATTGACTGGGCTAATGGGGAGATATTAGAATGGGGTAAAGAGTGTATGGGGACATGTATAAAACCAGTACTAAAGAGATTGGATACTATTGACCTTCCCACTACCACTCCCCAAACTCCTGGAGTTCCCATACAATACTGAGAACTTCAGGAGGTGTTTAACAAGGCTCAATCCGATGTATTGCTTCCCCACAGTGCATATGGCCGTGCCATTAACCTGTTTCCAGGCGCTATGCCACCTAAGGGGGCAGTTTATGCCTTATCTCCTCAGGATAGTAAAATAATGGAGGAATACATCAAAGAATCCTTGAGCAAAGGGCACATAAGAAAGTCATCCTCACCAGCTGGTGCATGATTCTTTTTTGTTGAGAAAAAGGGTGGTGAGTTACGCCCTTGCATACACTACAGGGCACTTAATAAAATCACTGTAAAAAATGCATACCCTATCCCACTCATTTCCGAATTGTTCGATAGACTTCAGGGAGCTAAATTATTTACTAAGCTTGACCTTAGGAGCACTTACAATTTGGTTAGAATTAAAGAGAAACATGAGAGGAAGACGGCATTTAATATCCGTAGTGGACACTATGAATATCTGGTAATGCCATTTGGGTTATGCAACGCCCCGGCCGTATTCCAAGACTTTATAAATGATGTACTCAGGGAATTCATTTACTCATTTGTCTTGGTTTATTTGTACGATATTTTGGTATATTCCCTGATCTTCAAACTCACCACTCCCATGTGAAACAGGTTCTGCAGACGTTGTTGAAAAATAAACTTTATTGTAAATTAGAAAAGTGCATATTTGACCAGCCTGAAGTCCACTTTTTGGGTTACAACATCTTTCCACCAGAGTGTATTATTGCTACTACTGTCCTCTCACTGTCTTTTCCACTGCTTGGCACCATACTGGAGGCCCAGCCTCAGGTGCCCAGTGGTAAACCATGTGATAAACTGTTCGTTCCCCTATGTGAAAGGGTTAATATCATGAAAGTGTTCAATGACAATATAACTGCTGGACACCCGGGCATCAATAAGTCCAATGCCGCGATCACTAGATCATTTTGGTGGGATTCACTCAGGAAAGATGTTAAGGAGTATGTGCAGGCATGTTCTGTGTGTGCAGTTTCTAAGGTGACTCGTGCACTTCCTTGTGGCCTGTTGCAGCCTTTTCCTGTTCCTGAGATTCCATGGTCCCACTTATCCATGGACTTTATTGTTGAGCTTCCTAGCTCTGCTGGGTTCACTACTATTCTCATGGTTGTAGACTGATTTTCTAAGATGGCTCATTTCATTCCTCTCAAGAAGTTGCCATCTTCGCAAGAATTGGTCCTAATTTTCAGGGGTCAAGTCCTGGGGAAAAAAGTGTGGGAACTCACCCAAGATTCCCCCCATCCACCCCTTAAAAAAAAAAAAAATTACACTCCTATGCATATAGTGCAGTGCAGGGTGTGTATAATGAATGTAGTGTGTTTATAGTGAATGCAGAGTATGAATAATAAATGTAGTGTGTTTGTAGTGAGTGCAGTGTGAATAATAATTGTAGTGTATTTGTAGTGAGTGCAGAGTGTGTATAATGAATGCAGTGTGTTTTTAGTGAGTGCAGAGTGTGTATAATGAATGTAGTGTATTTGTAGTGCATGCAGTGTGTATAATAAATGTAATGTGTTTGTAGTGAGTGCAGTGTGTATAATGAATGTAGTGTGTTTGTAGTGAATGCAGTGTGCATAGTGAATGTAGTGTTTTTGTAGTGAGCGCAGAGTGTGTATAATGAATGTGGTGTGTTTGTAGTAAGTGCAAATTGTGTATAATGAATTTAGTGTGTTTGTAGTGAGTGCAGAGTGTGTACAATGAATGCAGTGTATGTAGTGTTTTTGTAGTGAATGCAGAGTGTGTATAGTGAATGTAGTGTGTAGTGAGTGCAGAATGTGTATAGTGAATGCAGAGGGTGTATAGTGAATGTAGTGTGTTTGTAGTGAGTGAAGAGTGTGTATAATGAATGCAGCGTGTGCTGGATGATGTGTGTGTGCGCGCTGGATGACGTGTGTGTGCGCGCTGGATGGCGTGTGTGTGCGCGCTGGATGACGTGTGTGTGTGTGTGTGGGTGCTGGATGATGTGTGTGTGTGTGAGTGCTGGATGATGGGTGTGTCTTGGAGTGCTGGATGATGGGTGTGTGTGAGTGCTGGATGGTGTGTGTGTGTGTGTAGGTGCTGGATGATGGGTGCATTATTAATGTATTGGATGATTGTGCTGGATGATGGGTGTGTGAGTGCTGGATGATGGGTGTGAGTGCTGGATGATGGGTGTGTGAGTACTGGATGATGGGTGTGTGTGTGTGTGTGTGTGTGTGTGAGTGCTGGATGATGTGTGTGTGTGCTGGATGATGTGTGTGTGTGCTGGATGATGGGTGTGTGTGGATGATGTGTGTGAGTGCTGGATGATGGGTGTGTGAGTGCTGGATGATGTGTGTGTGAGTGCTGGATGATGTGTGTGAGTGCTGGATGATGTGTGTGAGTGCTGGATGATGTGTGTGCTAGATGATGTGTGTGTGAGTGCTGGATGGTGTGTGTGTGTGAGTGCTGGATGATGTGTGTGTGAGTGCTGGATGATGTGTGTGTATGTGTGTGTACTGGATGATGTGTGTGAGTGCTGAATGATGTGTGTGAGTGATGGATGATGGGTGTGAGTGATGGATGATGGGTGTGTGAGTGCTGGATGATGGGTGTGTGTGTGCTGGATGATGGGTGTGTGTGTGCTGGATGATGGGTGTGTGTGTGTGCTGGATGATGGGTGTGTGTGTGCTGGATGATGGGTGTGTGAGTGCTGGATGATGTGTGTGGGGGGGGGAGCATTTTTTTTAACTTTATGTGTATGTATATTTTTTTATTTTATTCCCCCCTCCCTGCTTCTTACCTTGTCAGGGAGGGGGGAGATCGCCTGGTGGTCCGGTGGAGGGAGCCAGCCGCTGCACAGAGGGGCCATCACACGCTGTGTTCCTTCTCCAGCTCTAACTCTCGCGAGACTCGCCTGTGCGGAGCGTTGCCATGGTAACAGCCGCGGGTCTCGCGAGAGTTATAGCTGGAGAGGGAACACAGCGTGTGATGGTCCCTTTGTGCAGGTAGCAGGGCCGGTCCTGCAGGACAGGCAACGGGAACGGCGTTCCTGCTTTGGAAAAAGTGCAGGAACGCCGTTCCCATGCGTTCCTGCAGGACTCGAGCCCTGCTAATTTTCATACGTGAAATTGTCCGTTTGCATGGCATCCCTCACAATATTGTGTCTGATAGGGGATCTCAGTTTGTGTCCAGGTTCTGGAGGGCGTTATGAGGACACAGCCTCAGTATATGTATCCACTATACGCTCTATGTATGAGTTACCTTGAGGACACAACCTCAGTATATGTATCCACTATATGCTGTATGTATGAGTTACTGTGAGGACACAGCCTCAGTATATGTATTTATTATTATTATTATTATTATTGCCATTTATATAGCGCCAACAGATTCCGTAGTGCTTTACAATATTATGAGAGGGGATTTAACTATAAATAGGACAATTACAAATAAACTTACAGGAACAATAGGTTGAAGAGGACCCTGCTCAATCGAGCTTACATTCTATAGGAGGTGGGGTGTAAAACACATTAGGACAGGAATTTGCAATCAAATAAGGTGGGCTGCCCTTTAGGAGAGGGCAAGAGACAGGTATGTGAGGTAGGGGTTAGTCTTGAAGGCCATAAGCTTTCCTAAAGAGATGGGTTTTAAGGCACTTCTTAAAAGATGCAAGACTAGGGGAGAGTCTGATGGCGGGAGGCAGGCTATTCCATAGGAAGGGAGCCGCCCGCGAGAAGTCCTGCATATCCACTATATGCTGTATGTATGAATTACCGTGAGGACACAGCCTCAGTATATGTATCCACTATATGCTGTATGTATGAGTTACTGTGAGGACACAGCCTCAGTATATGTATCCACTATATGCTGTATGTAAGAGTTACAATGAGTGAGGACACAGCCTCAGTATATGTATCCACTAGATGCTCTGTGTATGAGTTACTATGAGGACACAGCCTCAGTATATGTACCCACTATAGGCATTATGTATGATTACAATGAGGACTCTGCCTCAGTATATGTATCCACTAGATGCTCTGTGTATGAGTTACCATGAGGACACAGCCTCAGTATATATATCCACTATATTGTCTATGTATGAGTTGATCTGGGGACTCTGCCTCAGTGTGTGTTCTTTATATGCTCTGAGTCGCTATGAAAACACAGCCTCAGTATATGCCCTCTACATGCTCTATAGGTAAGATGGTGTGGAGACATTGCTTCAGTGTATCTGTTCACGATATGCTTGATGTATTAGTGGAAACACAATATATGTGAATGATATAAGTACATCCGCTATGTGAGTCCAATCTAATACTGGTTCTATGTGTGGGTTGTGAGTCACAACCTCAATATATGTGAGTGGTATATTATGTGCATGAAGTTCTGTTAAAACACAGCCTCAATTTATCTCACTCATATAATTTTAATATGTGTGCAGGCATAGTGTCACTGTATGTAGCAGAGGTAGGCTATGTATGATTACTGTTTAAACAGACTCAGTATATGTAACTGATATATCTGTGTATAAGGTGCTGTCAGAAACATCCACAATGTATGTGATTCATATAATCTGTATGCAGGTTGGTAGTATTATATAACCCTAATTTATACACAGCACTGGTAGATTTAATATATACATATGATCTAAGGTCTGTTTTGCCCTGAAATGTAGCACTGCCCAATTCTAGCAAATACAAATGCACTGTTATACTGGGTAAGTAATTATTGCCTACTGTGGATTTTCTATTTCAGTTTTTTAAATGAAGTAGATAAGGATACATACTGCTCTTGGCTTTGTATTAGATTCCTTCTCCCACAGGTGTTTTGGGATAAGCAATTAACACATAATACCACTTCAGATAGATTGCAGGTGTTACCGAACCTGTCTGAGTGCCTCTCCCAGGAGAGAAGGAGACCTGTTTTTCCAAAATGGAGCATAGTAATGTTCAACAGAATTAATGTTTTTTTGTGTGCACACCTATGTAATTATACACTAGACCATTTTACAAAAGTTTTTCTATTGCCAGGTATCCTCTCCCCTCTGTTCAAGATAGGGAATGTTTTTTCAATTGGTGGCAGTGTTTTACCTTCAGATATATGCTGATTACTGATGCACAGCTTATTAGATCATACTGGTTGCAGGAGCACGAATTGGGCTATTAATTGATCTCATAAGTAGGTAACGCTGAAGCCATTACCTGATTTAAAAGCTGTGAATATTTTTTTTTCTTTCACCTGGTCATAACTTTTATTCTCTAACTCTGAGTTCATTTCCTTAAAGCATAAAATTTATATTCAGTATTCTCTTTTATCCCTTGGATACCTGAAAGTTTGGCAATACCTTTAGTATATGTCAGGGGTGGCATGCTTTTGGTTCTTAAGGAGTTAATGATCAGAAACTTCTGACCGATTCCCCTGTTGTGAAGGGGAACATTATAATTTCCTTTCTGCAATAAAGGTATTCTTTTAGGCTCATATGCTCCAGGTAACTTTGATGCTGTGTATTGCAAGTATTCAAGGTCTTTCCAGTCCCCAGACCATTCTAGCAAGTTTACTATTTCAGGTAAAAGTTTATCCCCACCCTTGACTGATCATTCCTGTATCAATTGTTGTGAGTCTGATTTTTTTGCAACATAGGGTCATTGTTGCAGTGTTTTAATAACATGCTCTTATTTCTCTACTAGGCTCTGCCTCTTTCTGACAGGCAGATATTGATTTGTTCCTGTATCTTCAGGTAAGTAGTTCACTAGGCAAGAGGAAGCAGTGTGAATCGTATTTAATAAATACATCCAGTAAGTAGTAGGATTCTCAGTGTAATTCTCCCCGTGTTTAATAGCATGGTGTGTCCGTTCTCATCCAACATTATTTGCTTGTTCCAGTATGATCTCTGGAAGTTATGCCTTTGTCACGGTACTGATTTGATGGTCATCAATTTGGTTTTAAATTTTATGTCAGAATGACATTATCCTTCTCTAGCTTATGCTATCATGGCCTTAATTCCTATCTGACTCTATATCTATTCAGGATATTTCAGATATTGAATGCCAGGAGGTTGCTGACCTTGCAGCCTCTAAGGAATATTAACTTGTCCAAGCAGATTTTATGACAATATCCTATTGATTCTTGTTTGGCTTTGTAAAGTCTTCTAAGATTTATACAGCTCAATAATGGTTTTATAGCTATTAGCTGTTTTTGAACACTGTCCCTCCCTCGATATATACTGCTTGGGTATTCCTCATGAGTAAATGCTGCCATGAATAATGGTCAGGAAAAAGGAAAATTGTTTCATACTTACCGTCATTTTCTTTTCCTGATAATTATTCATGGCAGCATTACGTTCCCACCCATATACTATAAGAGTTGTGAAGCTAGTTACAAAGACTGTCTGATGGGAAGGGGGAGGATCTATTTATACCAGTTTCAAAGTCCTATTTCCTGTCCTTTCTGCTGTGAGGGGAGGAGCTAACCCATTAGTAAATGCTTCCATGAATAATTATCAGGAAAAGAAAATTACGGTAAGTATGAAACAATTTTCCACTATATATATATATATTAAGGCCTTTTGGCCTGTAATTGTGGGAGGGGCGTATGACACACCCCTTCCCTACTTAAGGGACACCCCTTACCTGGCTCCATACCGTTCAGCGCTGCATGAGGATCCACTTCCGGTTCTCATACGGCGCCATCTTGGTTTTCAGAAACCCACGATTTTCTTCAAGTGTAGCTGTGTCCTGGAATCCCTTTTGAAGGTCTTTCCTCCCGTCCAGCTCCTGGTGAACTCCGGTTTTCGTCGAAGATAACGTCCTAGGGACTTAAAAATCGTAAGTCCGACGCCTGGATCATTCCCACGGCGTTCCGTTTTTCAAACGGGGCCTCACTTTACGCTCTCCGGCTTTACGGCAAGGTCGCAAATCATACATGGTTTTCCCATTTCGGTTAATAAATTTCGTGCCATAATCCTTTCGGTATGTTTCTAATGTATTCCATATGGTACTCATGCACACCATTTAGTATCATTTCATTTTTAATTCATTTTACCGAAAGCACTCATTCATGCTGCCTTCCGTTCGGTTTAATTCAATCGGTATACAATATCTTGCATCTAGGTCGGTCAAGCCTTTGACGAATGACACTGCTCTTTCTTTTTCATTCTAATGGAGCTTTCGGCAGTTTTGCTCAGTTATGCACGCATTCGTTTCACATCTTGCATACGGCAAACTCTGGTTCTGTTTTTATAGTAGACCAAATTCGGTTCATCTACCTTTCTATGTACTGTTATAAATTTGTTTAAATCAGTCATACTTTTATATATATACTTATTCATACCATACTAGGTTTTCATCTTGCTTAACATTTTCTGATGTATATTGGTTTAGTTTATAGTTATTTTAAGTTACTTAATCATAGATATTTCAGGTATATTACATTAATGGTTTAGCCTGCGATTATGGCTTATTTCTAAAAGTCTTATGGAGATCATGCTTTTATTCAACCATGTACATCAGGATTACATGGCACTTACAATTTTCAGACCATTTCTTGACATACTCAGACGACATACCACGAGTATACAAGAACACGGTCCTATCTTTCACAAGACTTTCGGGTTGA